CCAGATTTTGTATTTTCCCGAGAAAATGAGAGAAAGTATCTAATTGAGAAACACATCTCCACGTTCTTTTCCCGTCTCGTAGGTTACGCACCACCTCCTCCTTCCTAGCTGGGTTTACTCTGGCAAAAAACCCAAACTTTAAGCTTTCTTATAAATTCTCCTTACGTTTGCAGGTTTTTATCTTCTCACTTCTCCTTCTTCCTCACGAAACTTCCCTGATCTCGAAGGTGTTTTTTTATTGATTTCCGATCTCTCCCCTTTCGTGGGTTCTTATCCAATTCCTCCGTTTCTCACCTCTGATTGATAAAAATCGAATTTTTGAATTAKAGAAATTCTGGGTTTGGATTCAATTTGAAATTACGAGTATGGAGAAGAAACGAGAGATTTGTGAATACAGAGAGAGACTTGACAAGACATTGGCGTCTCCTGAGCTCACTAATGACCAAACTCTAAAAACCCTAATCACAAATCAGCTAAATGAAGGTTTTTTCTTGTTGTTGTTGATTTGCTATATATTTAACAAAAACTCTCTTTAGTTGCTTTACTTTTGCATTGTTAATAATATTTTTTTCACAGAGTGTAATGTGGATAAATTGGATCAAAGAGTAGCTGATTTATCCAGTATACTTGAGAAGCTTAGGAGTGTATCAACAAAGGATCAAGATTTGTCTAAATCAAGCAACGATGTAACTTATGGTGATTGGAAAGTACGTGTATCAACAAAGGATCAAGATTTTGTTAAAGAACAGAGTTTTCATAAAGTAGCAAAGTGTTTTCTTGTTTACAGGTGAAACATGATCATGAAGATTGTCGTGTTATGTACCGCGAAGGAATCGAAGGAAGTCCGTTTCATACATTGCTCGTTGAAGGCTACATGGATGGGACTATTGAAGAATGTAAAGTTTTCTTATTAATAGTTTGGACCGCAAGAAAATAACGGTTTTCGATTTGATTCTGACTGCGTTTTATGCAGGTTTATGTGTATCATGGGAATCATCACTCTATGAGAAATGGTGAGAGTATTTTTTTTTTTTMTTMTTMTTAATGCAGATTTTGGATTTTGAATGTGTACAAGTTCGAAAACAATGTGCGGTTTTTCGCTTCTCTCTTAACGGTTTTGTGTGTTCATGTTTGGTTTGTCTCAGGTGGCCAAAGTCTGCATTTCCGGCATTTAGGATCTTACAAACTAAATGCTTGCAAAAGCTTCGGATCGATGAACAAATATGTTTAGTGAGGTCTGTTTCACATATTGCAAAGTTTTTTTTTAGTTTTCTTCTCTCTATGTTCATCAAGCTAATCTAAATCTGACGATTTTGATGATATTTTTTTGGAAGAAAGGATGAAAGTACCATGGCCAATGACAGACAGAGAAGCTATTGTGCAGTTTTTCTTATTCGAACTCTTTAAAGACGGTTTAGTCATCATCCTACTTAACTCGGTAAAACCAAGAAAAAAGTTAGCTAGATTTCATTTTCATCAAAATCCTATTTCTCAATGATTTTGACATCATCTGAATTTATATCTTTAGATCTCATCAGATGTAGAGAGCATCGAAAAGAACGGTTTATCTGAAGCAGTGAGGATTGACTTAGTAGGTGGAGTTGCTATACAAAAGGTGTCTCCAGAGAGGAGTTACTTAAG